TGTGTGTGTGTGTGTGTGTGTGTGTGTGTGTGTGTGTGTGTGTGTGTGTGTGTGTGTGTGTGTGTGTGTGTGTGTGTGTGATATCTATCTATGTATTTATCTATCTATCTATATTTATATATATATGTGTGTGTGTGTATATATATATATATATATATATATATATATATATATATATATATATATATATATATATATATGCTATGTACATATAATATATGGTCATGGCATGTACTTTTGCCATCCTGACATCTCTATGTAACAAGTGATGTCAGGATGGCTAAAGTACATGCCCACTTTCATTACTAGTTGTTTATACAGAGATGGCCCCACAAGAGCTTAGTGATGAAGGAGTCTCCTTTTTATCCTTTACCTTGATTATCTACATATTTTTTCTATTAGTATTGCTAATTGAGCACTTGTTGAGCCATATATGTGCAAACAAAATTCACCAAACAAAACTTAAGTATATGGCATATATATACCCAGTGGCAGTGTGTTAAAAGATTGCACATATAAAGTGCAAGGAAATTATAAGAAATGGCTTCATTAGGAACTGAAGAGAAAATATGTGGATATATTTTTATTACCCCCACTTAATATTCATTAGTACTCAAATTTTTTATTTTGTATTTGAATTTTCTACAGTTAATTCACGATACTGTAGTGGATACCAGTGTGGTATTTCCTCATAAGATGGGTCATCCCTACAAACGTGCCCTTCGAAATCTAGCCTCGGAAATCTTAAAGAAAATTATCCAAAATGATGGTAAGTTTTCATTCGTTCTAGTTGATCTGATGTGTATTTTTGAAAGATGTGTTGTATATAGTGGACTTGAGTGAACAACATTTCAGGCAGTTGCTGCATAGGTTGAAAAGTTATTCAGTGCAAAGATGTTTTAAAAGAGCAGTAATAGAATGTACAAAATTGTACAAAATTCACTATGAGTTTGACATAAACCCTTTCCAACTACTGTATATTTTATCTTGCTGCTATATCACATGTCACTTTCTATCAAGACACAAGAATTCTCTGTTAACAAACTAGTAACCTGTTCCCAACATTACCAAGTAGATATTTGCACATATTAAGATTCATGCTAAATCACATCAAATAGCCAGCCTTCTAATTATCAGAAATTGTTTGGTCTTTTATGTTATTTATGTGAACTTATTTTAGATTTACATACTAGCTATTATGGTAGATATATAGCGAGACCCAGTGTAAGGGTAACCTCTATATAACTTGTCTTAGGCTGTCGCCTTATTAGGCCATCTTTCATATAGCAACCTAACCTATAAGCACCATCCCATCATATCTGACATATACTACAAGTGATACCTTTTTTTTTTATGATCTAGCAACTCATTAATCCCAACTTTTTTCAGTGTCTGGTCACGACAGTGCAGAGGATGCAGTGACCTGTATGCACCTCATGCAGTGGAAGATAAAAGAGGACTTGAAGAGAATCAAAAAATGAATAAAAATGTATCAAGATGAGTTGATTCATTTTACTACATAGATGTATTACAGGAGAGTAAAATGTTAAGTTTGATACACAGCATTTTGTTAATAGCATTGTTTCTACTCCTATATGAAATTAAATGTTACATGTTTATACATGGTTGTTTGTAATTATATAATCTAGGAAAATTAAGTAATACATGTAAAGTTCAATTTGGATTAATTTTGTTTTCTTCTTTCTTTTTTTAGTCCATGGAAATATAAATTTTTTTATTTTTTTCTACTTCACAGAGCATAGAGTAACAATCTTTTGCAATGTTTAATAAGCAATTACCAAAAGTTCTGGGACTTGAAGCAATAAAGAGTTTCACTTTGTGTCAGTCACATTATGAATAATCAAGGATGTTTGTTTTTAAAGGCACAGTGTAACAAGTATATAACTCATGCAGTGTTTAGAAAGAAGGATAAAATGTTCCAAAAAATCATTTTGACAAATGAAACAGATGAAGTCCTCACATATTGGAAATTAAAGCATTCCCTTGTATGGTATGTAATGTGTATACTGTATAGTTTGTGGCAGCTGCAGTCATATTTGATATGTTTTTTGTAACTGTAGCATCATGTATCTTAAACCAAAGGATGTAATTGTACTCTATTTAATTTTTCTTTAGAATAAGATTCAGTGTTAACTGTTTATGTCTTTGATACTGTAACCAATGTAATCCTGAAAGCCTGACAATTGCACAGACATGCATGTCTGCCTCAAATCCATGCGCCGATGAACAGAAGTCCGCATTCAAAATTGATTCAGACTTTAGTTACAAAGGTTTTTTTCTAATGTGTCACATGGTTTTATTTCAAGATATAACTTTTTTTTTAAGTTGGTCAATTTCTAAGAGAAGGATCTGATTTTTTTCCACTTCCAGGTTGAAGATAAGTCGATATGTGGTTAAAATGAAAAAGGAGTGTGATTTAACTCAGTGTGAAAAAGAGAGACTGGAGGAGGGAAAGTGCAAAAGGCAGTTGGAAAGAGAGGAGAGAAAAGTGAGAGGAGGGGTAAAAAAATTATAATAAAAGACTGAAGAAAGAGCCTAAACAAAGTCTATAAAAGGCATTTACATAAAGTAAAGCAAACACCAATGATATTTTACAGAAATCAAGTGGAAAAGGAAGAAGGTAAGGCCAGGAATATTATTGAAGCAAACGAACGTGAGAACAGATGATATTGCAGTCCTTGATAGTTTCTGATCCTGCATGGAAGCAACATCATTTGGTTGTGAAGCACCAGATGTGGGAGATTTCTCTCTTGAAAATGTAAAATATCTTTGGCTTTAGGAGCATGTGCCTGATATAACTAAGGTTATTTTTTGGTTAGTATAAATCAGGGTAAGTCTTTTTGTTGTTAGAATGGTCATGTTAGTGTCCATAGAAATATTCCCCTGGGAAAATTCCTTGTTAACAGAGCATTTAAGCTTATTTATATTATCAAACTAATAGCTTGAATACATTTTCTTTTAACATATTTCTCTAATAGCATTTATTAAGATGATGAGTCCTCATGACTGGAAGAAAATGGCAGAAATGAGATTATTAGTAACTTAAGTTAGTCACACTGTCATGTTATCAAGTACACAGAGTAGATTTTTTTTCTGATTTTAAAAAACACCATTTGTTTTTCATTTTAGAAAGTTTTTGATTGCTTGACCACAGCTATGTAGAAGACATGGGTGACATTTCTATAAAAGCATAAATTATTTGATAACTTCAATTGGAAGATAATGAACGTAACTTCAAGCAAGAAGATGAGGTATTAAAGAAGGTAACCAATGTAGAAACATTAGAATTTTGTTTTTTTCCATACACTGATCTCCTTTCATTTCTGTTTGTCAAAAGAATATGACATTGTTATTATGCTGTTGACCAGGAATTATGAATATCATTAAATCCTACACATGAGTAGCATAATTATATCGAATAGTTAGATGGCACCTTAATTATGAAATTTTACAGTACATTATTTTTAGATGGTTATGAATGCTTTAGAAAAGTTCATCAAAGGGCATTGAGTGTGGAATGGTAATTGATTGTTTTTTTATATGTTAGGGGGGGGGGGGATTGCCCATTCTTTGATATTTTTATCTCTATGGTTGATATGGTGCTGACTCACAGTTTCCCTTAATCTGGTATCCCCCCCAAGTATTTCAGGTTTTGGAAATATGAAACATGCTGTATTAAGGTTCTAATGCATGTTTAATGAATTATAAAACATCACAAGCGTTTGGAAAATTCAAGTATTATTTTGTGATGATGATGAATGTAAGGAGTGGTTTGAGCACTTAATGGAGTAATATTTAAGTGTCGGTTGAATGCTACTTATACGGGATACCAAATCATAGCTATTACTACATGATACATTAACAATGGTACAAACAGGATGTACATTCTTTCATTCTTATTATTTTTCTATTTGAATAGTACACATTTAGCTATATTGGTTCCCTAGCTCTAGTCAAACTACTGTGCTTCTTTGTGAATTATTTCAACAGCAATAAAATGTAAAATCTCCATTCTGTGGAAAAAAAACTCTCATTTGATAACCTTCAGTTTCCTTCAGATTAATTTTAGGATACTCACTTTATCTCCAGATCTTGAAAGCATCACTCTAATTCATATGAGTTAAAAAACAAAACAAAAACAAAAAAAAACACAACCAAAAGGAGGATAACTTAAATTGTAGATTAGCCATTATACCACCAAATAGTTTTCAGAATGAAAGAAAAGATAATTCTGGTATATTATATTGCAATGAACTGCAAGAAAACAGTATTTACCTACTTTTTACAACTGTCACTGCTTTTGAGAGAAATAACCAAACTGATTGTGGAAGTGACTGCCTTCTGAATTCATATTTCCCTGTTTGGGGGTAAGCTATGTCTGTGAGGCCCCATACCCCAGATCCTAATAAGGAGCTCAGTTAGACTCTATGATTTCAGTCCTTTAAGGCTATGTTAGATCATTACTTGCATATGCATTATTTTGCACTTTACTTGGTTATTGGATTTTTTTTGGTTTTAATGGCCTGGTTTTCATCATAAATATCACAGGCCCTTCAACAACTCCCAGATGGAGGTGGCACTTTAATGTGTATCAGTCAAACCAATTCCATTGAAAATTAACATTATATTTGCTTTTGTATGTGTAGAATAGGCGACAACTTCCATGGAAAGTAGTATCATTTTATAATCTAAGTAAATAACACCATTAATTATTTTTGGGATATCTGTCATGTAAAATATTTTGAACTGATTTTTTCATGTGTAAAGTAATTTCAGCCATTGCATGATACTTAAAAGAAATATAAATGTAGAGTTGTTGGTTTGATAAACACATGATAAAATATAACTATAATTCTGCATAAAGTTTTGGTCCCCTTGGAAAACTTGGATGTAGTGAAGCACCCTCTTTTCCATCCCCAAATGGCACACCTGCTAGAATTGAGACCTTGTAAAGATTATACCTTTCCCTAGTTGGGCTACAATGATGAACACCTTTTCCAGTGGTCCAGCTTTGGTAGTAGAAGTACCTCCTATCAATGAGCATGATGGTATTGAGACACATTTGTTCAGGTTCATATCCTGTGTACGCTCCTATTAAACATCAGCACGTCTTATGCCAAACTCAGTTCCATGGCAGAAAACTGTTCTCAGCCAAGGTACCTCATGAGTTGTACTGGATGACTTCAGTGCAAGCAAACTGGCTACAAGATGTATGTTGACCCTCTTGCTCATTTGCTAATACCATTAATAAGAACAGCCTCCTCTGGGACTTTGTAAGTTCTTGAAATTGTCAGCCATTTATCTTTTCAAGACTGCTCTCGCTTCCTAGGAAATGGACAGAAGAGGTTGGAGAAGAGAAGGAAAAGGAAAGGGAGAGAAGAAAAGACTGTAAAATTTGTTGAGCTAAGGGCTGAAACCTCCATCTCCAAAGCTCCCCCATGACAACAATGGGCATGGGACTGGAGGGGTGATGCAGTCAGGGTGCATTAACAAACTTCATTTCTATGGATGGTTGCTTGTCATTTTGCAAATCAAAAGGATAAAGTGCATAAAAATAGTCTTTTTATTTCCAGGTTTAGTTATATTGTAGATATGTCACTTTTTTCTTTTTTTTAAGACAGAAATCCACTGAAATATATTGAAAGTGCAGGTTGTTTGTAGCTACTGGCAATTCATTAGTATTAGTTTATTACTTTTTATTGTAAATAAATGGTTAAGGGTTTAAACAGATAAATGTGCTAGACATCAAAGGTCATTTAGCACTATGGCGAAAAGGGTAAAAATGAGTTAATGATTACGTTAAAGTGTGTTACATGTCAAAGGTTGTAGAGCACTATAGGATAGTATGGTATTGAAGCAAGCAAAGGATTGGAGGGGATACTTGAAATATATTGATTTTCATCATATACATAACTTATTAAATCCTTTCTTGGTTAAGTGAAAAATATATACCTTTATAGATGCCAAGTTATCCATGCATCTTACAAAGTAAAGTTCTATCAGGAACGGACAGCCAAAAGGGACAACTGCTAAATATTCTTATTAGACATAACCCAAGCCAATCCCTTGCTCGTTGTTGTCGTTGGGGTTGTGGTTTTGCAGGGTCATTTTTTGCCCTTTCCTTCACAATACTTTATCATAATGCTCCCTACTCCCTTAACTCCTTCCCCTTCTAACAAACTTTACCTTATGTTATGTCCCATCAACTCCTTGTTAATACCCTTTTAACTACCATACTACTCTGTTCAACTGTAACTTTACCATAATCATTAACTCATTCCTAACCCTTTTTGCTACTCTACTTTACCATATCACATCCTTACCGGGGGGGGAGTTTACTACTGAGCTTCACACTATCACTATAGTTTGAATATATGCCACTAATGACTTTAGGTGTTGATGCAACAGAAATGTTTCAGTAAAAAAATTATCAGACATAATTACTGTGCTGTGTACCTCCAGAATGTTTCCAAATATATATTTTATAATCATTATGACCAGGAAAAAGAAAAATGGCTTCTTTAAAGTAAAGCCTTTTTACAAGAGGTCAGGTTAGCAACTAATACTGTGAGGCAGTAATTAAAAAATACTAAGTGTGCAAAATATAAAAATAACAGGCACATTTAATCACTGCTGTAATATGAAGGTCTTCAAACTCACTTTCTTTTTCTTACTATACTATATTTTCCACTTCCTCTTATACATTCTCATGTGAATATTTTTTTTACATTTATTTTACCAAATTTATTTCCTTACTTATTGTCTAATAATTATCTAGGGGTAAAAAACAAACATTATCCATAACACCTTTAATTTAAAACACAACTGTACAATACATATAATACACAGTATAACACAAGACAGACAAGCTAAATAATTGTGCACATTATAACAGTCAAGATTGTATGGAATGTAGTGCATATTAATACTTTGTTTCCTCATATTCATTTTCTTTACACATTCTCTTGGTATAACTTACATTTCTTAAGGAAAAATTGAAATGCTGGGACTATATATACACACTATAATTTGAATATTTACATAATCATATACTACCAGCCACACAAAGGAGAGGAGTATCATGTTCATAATCTTTTGGATTACTACTTGCAGAATCACACTATGAATTTGATTTCATCGAGCAAAGCTTAAGATGGAAAATATTTCTTAAAATTTTATAATTGCTTTTTATTCCACTATTAAAGACATTCAACCAAAATAGTAAAGCTACACTTACAACCTGATAGTCACATCAAGTGCAATCTTTCCTTTCTGTGTTTAATTTTCAACACCTACTATCTTTGTGCATATGTAATTAGCTTCATATTATTTATGACACCTAGAAAGTTATGTCTATAAAAAATGGTTCTTGAAAACAGATATTCTTCAGAGAATAACTTTTTAATTTAACAATATTATATTGATATCAATCATTTGATAACCAGCTCTACATTACCAAGCTTAGAAAAAAATAAAAATTTGCTATGTCTCTAATAATGTTTACTCTTTGAATATTTTTTAATAATTTACTATCCTCATTATGTTATTGAAATGGTAAACACACCCACAAACATTCACATCCATTTCCCCTACATGCAAATATGGAATTTCATATCTAAGGTTAAGTCACTAAATCACTATATCATTTAGTCATGATCAATTCTATTCTACAAGAACTGGCTGGTTGAACCATACAAGTAAGATTTGTTTCTTTGATGAAATAATTATGCATAAATACTTTTAAATTTATACCTAATTCCCAAGTTAAAGGTATAAACCCACTCTGCTGCACTTACCATACATAGCCTTTAAATAAACAAATGTACAAACTAAAATATGCAATAAACTGTTCAGCTTGATATTAGAAAATGGTTTGGTAAATCTGAATGATTCCTTGCCAGCCCTTGTATATTCATTACATTATTTATTCATGAAACACCTAGCTCAAACAAAGACTGAAGTTTACTTTTTCCAAATGTATAGGGGACTACATTATTCTGGCAGCGAAAAAGAGCATATAAGTACCATCCTTTATATACTGAATCTAATCTGCTGTAGAAACCATGATGGGTTTTCCCTTGGGATCATCAAAGCGGTCCATGGTTTTGATGTCGCCCAGCATGTACATTCCGGAGAACAGGATGAACAGCAGGAGCAGCGTCACTAACAGAGCGCACCAGATGGGTACAGTAAAGAACCCAACACAGTCCCAAGACCCACTGAACTTTGTCTGATTGGAGCTGAATGGCTGAACCTGAAAAAGATATGATTCATTTTAAAGTTCAAGTTTGAAAACTGCTGAGTTCCTAAATGATAACTAGCTTTCATTTCACTGTAAATTGTACTACAGTTAGCTATGCGATGAATACACAAGTAGGTATTCTCTTGAGGAAAAAAACAGAGGCCATATAGCCTATATTCTAGTACCTGAAAACATAATATTATGTGACCTGCTCACCCCTATATACTTGTATTATCATAGAAATACTATAAAAGGGTAAGTATAAGTTGAGTGCTACACTGAGAAAACAATTTTTAGCTGAAAAGCTGGGCTTTTATATAATGAAGGGTTAATATGAATGGCAGTCAAAAGCCCTGTCAGTAGGTCCAACTGCATCAATTTTATGGCAAAAATTTTGACATTTCCAGTATAGTAATGGGTACAGTCAGAACATGAAATTCCCAAGCCCTTACAAAACCTATCTGGTAAATCAAAAAAGAAATCCACATTTTCATCATAAGCATCCAGACATTTTGTTTCATTTTCTCTTTTTCAAGCAAAGTATTTTTCAGATCACACATACCTGAAAGCCATCAAGAACCATCATGATTGACTTGACAGTGCTGTTGTTCTTTAAATATGTCTTCTCGCTACATGAATATGACATCCCTATAGGAATGCCTCCAATATCATTATTAGCCAGCTGTTGAGAACAAGATAAAAGATGAGAGTAATTATATTAGATAATAATATTACCATTGAACATATATCACTATATGGCATCAATATA